CTGTCTTCTTGGCCAGATGTCACGTCTTGGCGAGATGCCAAGTCACGTGATTCTAATGCCCCGCGATGATCATGCCCGTTGGGATCCCCAGTGGTTTCCCAACCATTCATCGTCATACCCAGGGAGAGGATCCTTCTGCTTATTGCTTGTAACATAAGGACGTCTACAACTTCGACGAAGCTAGCTTTATAATAGGCAAGATTACAACTCAGCTAGTCGTAACAGCGTCAGAGAGGAGGGGCCAGCCAAAGGCAGTTAAGCCAGGCAATCGTGAGTAGGTGACGCTGATCGCAGCAATCAACGCAGCTGGCTAGGCAGTCCCACCGTTCCTTGTCTTTGCTAGCTAGTATTACCTATCTGCCTAGTACGAGGAGGCAGAGATCCCGCGCGATTATGTAATCGCAGTCAGTAATAATAGCTAGACGAACAACGAGCTAAGTGTCGCATAGATAAAGCACTTTAATACCTACACGAAAACTCGCGTTATCGGCACACGTTACCTGCTTATTCTTAACAGCCATAAGAGCCACCAGTCTCTAGAGTTTTAAGAGTTCTGCAAGGAGAACAACATATATACGCTCTGCATGCCGCCTCACTCATCTCATCTACTTTAGCCTCTTAACGTTAGCTGCTTCTCGCCGTTAAAGCGCGCGTACAGCCGCGAGGTGGAGAGCCTAATCCGCCATCACATTAACCACATCACCAAGCTTAAGTTTCTACCAGCGTTCAAGGTAGCGTTCGATCGATCCTTTACGGCAGCCAATATCTGCTCTGCCTTCCGCGGCGCAGGCCTTGTTCCTCTCTAGCCAGATGCTGTTCTATTAAGGCTTGATATAAAGCTCCGTACGCCTACTCCACCAGCTATTCTAGAGGCTCTCTGGCAGGCTCGCACGCCTAGCAACACACGCGAGCTTAAAGCTCAATCAACGTTAATACGTGATCGCGTTTAGCGGCATTAAGGCTTATTGCTAGCTTCAATTATTATAGCAATTAACTAGCTTAAGAAGGGGGCTAAGGTAATAATGCTCTCGGCTAAGCTAATGCGCGATCGGATAGCCAGCTCTAAGAAGGTGAACGAAGCCGCAACAAAGCGTAGGCAGCGTAAGAAGAAGCGGATACAGAAGCAAGGAGTGCTAACAAAGGGAGCTGGAGAAGATCTACTCGCTCAGCGCGAGGCTGATCAGCAGATTGCTTA